TATCTAGTTATATAAAGATAAGTGCTCCTGCAGTTTCATTTCGTAAAAGCCTATTAAAAAAAGGTAATAAATATAATAATAATTTAAATAATGAAATGTTTTAGTTACTCTCATATAATCAATTACTCTTGTTATAATCAAAATGTCACACGAACTATGGCAACTACAAAAATACTAATTTTGTCATGAAATTTGTTTTTATTGTTACTGAACTTCAAGGATTATTTGATTTCGCATCTCAATGACAATATTTTCTCAACATTCTACATTCATGTAAACTCAACATACAAACATATATTGTGGTATTATGCTATAATTAATTATTTAATTTAAATTAATGCTTAAGCTTTTTTTTGAATGGTTTTCAAAGTCACACTACTTAGCCGTGCTCATGCGATCAAGATAAACTTATTATTCTATTAAATAAAGACAAACGTTGTAAATATACAAAATAAACTTCAAATATAACTAAAAGTAAAATGCAACATAATTGAGTCGGACGTGTCCACCCTATTGACCTTAAACGATTGTTTAATAAAAATGCATTATATAAATGTAAGATACACCGATAAAGATTTGTGGAAAAATAAATTAATTGAAAAGGTATAATTGAAATATATAACAAATTATTTATAAATTATCATGGAAACCAATACGTGGTTATTTAAAAGTTTATCCGAATTGGTATATATGATAAAAGTATAAGTATTGTTAAATTAAATAAACACTAATTACATATATAAATATAAATAATTATGTACTGGTATACCTTTAAATATCTAATCTATGCAAAGAGCGTTTGAAAAAAAGTTTTCACTAGACACTACCTTTTTTATAAAATTTTAATTATTTTTTAAAAGGAGTATTAATAAAATTTTAAAAAATATTTTATTTGCTCTTATATATATATATGTATAATATTATATATTTATATAATAGTAATATATATATGTAATTTATATATATAGCAAATGAACGAATATTCGGTGCAAGATTTTGTTGGACATGTGTTTATATTTACATACGTCCAATATAAGCAGCATTGACTATTCTGGGATATATACCATAACGAAAGCATAAATTGCTATTGATCATTTAATGCATCTATACAATGGGCTATGTAAAATAATGTACGTAACTCTAAAATCATGACTTTTTAAAACTTTAAAACTAAAACCTATAAAAAATCAATACAGGTCATCATGAAAATGTGAGATTTAATTTTTCCAGATATAATTTTCAAAACTAGTGTTTAAAAAAAGTAATTTTTCACGAATTTGTTTAAAAAGAATATTTCAAATGGGCTGTGTAAGAAATTAATCGTTTAATTGAATGTCTACTATATTGATAGTTATGGTAATAAGATACAGCATTTCCTTGTGAAATTGTGAAATTGAAAGAAACAACAAATGCCAGCAACAAAATCAAATAATAACCTAGTAAGTAATTATGATAGTACTGTCTTATATTTTTTACATACACGATATCCAAACATATTAACCAAAAAAAATAATAATTTATCTTTAAAATTTCGTGCTATAGTATATATACTTAGTCATAATAAAGCCCATAATGGAATAGCCAAAATATTATTTTATTGTAAACTTTAAGAGCAGGGTTTAATATTCCTCCGTAACTATCTTAAGAAAACATTTCCGTTACTGTATGGAATAACCTCGGTAAAGAACTTGCGCAGCACAAATATGGGGAAGCAG